ATTTTTAAGAGTGTATTATGGGTAATGAAAGGTTCATATTTTGGTTTTGGGAGTCCCCAACAGCAGGTTGACATGCATGCAAGGTCAAAAAACACTTTCATTGTCTTATAATATGCATTTATTTTTACCTTACTTGCTCAACGACTCACAAATGATTCGCTCAACGATTCATTTTTCCAAACCCCTCCTTTGCGTGACGCTAATCTGCGGTGATTGGTCTCATTTTCATTTCATCATGCCTGTGTAATTCCTGATAAAGCAGAGTTTGTGAGCGCAGTGCTGCTTTGTGTACAGTGTTACCAGGGAAACCGCTATATTTATCGCTTCAAAAGCGGCACCTAGTGGCAAAGAATGAATTTGCATTTTCATTCAGACCAACGTGAAAAGACCAACAAGTGGGCGGGAAATATGCTAATGTTTCATCATGTTGATGTCAACATGAAATGGCTTGGGATTCGTTTTAAAAACGACTCGTTTCAATGATTCAGAGTCAACTCTTTCTTTTGAGAGACTATAACTTTATACACGGTGCACTTTCAAATTTAAAACTTTGCAGGATGTTTTCATTCACTTAGAGCTGTGTTACAAACTGCATGAAAGGTCATTTTCAAAAATCCATAGTAGGGGCACTTTAAAGCAATTAAAAACTAAGTCGATTACAAAGCCGCAGGAGAGTTTCTGCTGGCAAATTGCAAATAATAATAATAATAATAATAATAAATCTATTATATTTTATTTTGATTTCTTTCCTTGTAAGGAGAAAGCAATATTATGGATAGAAGAAACAACCAGAAACAACAGGCTTGAAGTTAAACACGGCATGATGGTAGATTTGTTTTTTACAAACACACATCTTTTCACTTCACAAGACGTTAACTGATGAACTGGAGTTGTATGGATTACTGTAATGTTTTTATTAGCTGTTTGGACTCTCATTCTGACGGCACCCATCCATTGGTGAGCAAGTGATGTAATGCTAAATTTCTCCAAATCTGTTCTGATGAAGAAACAAACTCATCTAGAGAGCGAGTAAATTTTCACCTAATTCATTTTTCATTTTTGGGTGAACTATTCCTTTAAACTGAATGCATTAAATTAAATGATTGCATTTTTGTATTAATATAATATAATTTGCATAATTAATAAGAAATTAAATATTAATTATACAATAATGCATTTTATTCCTTTGAGGAACTTTGTCAGATTTAGCTCACTGGTGATAACTTTGTTCGCAAAGCATAGCATGCATGTTTCACGGTGCATTTATCTTGGCAGTGAATCACAGAACAGAAATAACTTAAATGTTAGAAGTAGAAAAACAAACTGCTATCTCTTAATACAGAACAAGTTTGTGACAGTACCGTGAGAGTTCAAAAGGCAGAGTGATCTCTAGTGGGGATCCCTTAAATTTATGCTTAGTCCCCAGTGCAAACTGCGCAGCCTGGCCATTTGCAGAAACCTTAAAGATCTTCAAGTCCTTTGAGTCCAGTGTCTAGAAAGAAGGATCGAAAGTGAGAGAGAAAGATAAGATATAAATAAAACAATATATACCTAAATCTGTTAGAAAAATAGATATAATAACACAAACTGTCCATTTACGGTCTATGGTTTAAGGTTGCAAACTTCATGTTTAAATAGGCGTGACTTTTGATATTTAATAGTAGGTATTTTATGGTTGATGACCATCGTATTATTATTACTTGATGTCACATCTTGTCAAAACAATTAATGTAAATCCATGTTTGGTATATTTGTTTTCACTTCACACCTCTGAAATGCAAACTGCATAGCAGTTATGCAAGCTTAGATTTATCTGAAATCTTCTGACAAGATGCACCTGTACAACAAGCTCAGGTAAAAGTCCATCAATGTGATCAGGACGGTCCTGAAATCAAAGTTCAGGTCAAGTGCAGTAAACCAGGTACACAGTACGTAACTAATAAACCTCATTAATGATGAGATACATTTTACATTATTGACAATATGACAAGCAAAGCATACGCACATGCATTTGCAAACGCTGATGGTTGAATAAATGTATCAAACTTATAAACAACACATTTTGAATGCGACTACATGTCATCAGGTTACGCTGCGGATATAATTAATGTATCAAGTTCAAGTAAAAATGTAACCCAGTCCTGCTGAAACTACTGTTAGTGTAAGACGAGCATATTTTACATGCATCGATAAATAAATTGTTTTTATAATTAAATAGTATTAGCTAGTAGTAGTGATCTTTTTCAAGAAACAACCCATGAACTAAAGCAATATTAACGATGTAAAGGCATACACAGCATACACAAGCACACTGCATCTTATGCACACATAGGTGTGTATGTGAGGTGTAGTGATAAGTCAAGCAAACAAAATGACAGCTTTGATGAACCAAATTAAAACTGTACCAGAGAAGAGAATTTATCCTCCAGAACTTCCACAGTCAGGGCGACTTTTCCTTTGAGCACGTGCCTTTCAAAGTCAACATGGTAAATGAGATTTAAGTGCTTGGTAGCGCACTTGGAGAGAGAGGAGAAAGAACTGGGGTCTGACACAGGAGTCATGGTCGAGACAGAGAACACCCCGCTCGCGCTGCGAATGGATTTTAACCCACACACAGCCACGTGACACCGGCCGGGTGAACGGCATCATGGGAGTTGTAGTTTATTTTCTTCTCAGCGACAACCATGGCGAGAACGATGAACTACTGTCCTCTAGTGGCTGAGGGTGTTCATTCAACTCAAATGTGACCACAAAACCAGTCATAAGTAGCACGGGTATATTTGTAGCAATAGACAACAATACATTGTATGGGTCAAAATTATAGATTTTTATTTTATGCCAAAAATCATTAGGATATTAAGTAAAGATCATGTTCCATGAAGATATTTTGTAAATTTCCTACCGTAAATATATCAAAACTTAATTTGTTGATTAGTAATATGCATTGCTAAGAACTTGATTTTGACAACTTCAAAGGCAATTTTCTCTATATTTTTATTTTTATTTATTTGTATTATTTTTTTTGCACCCTCAGATTCCAGATTTTCAAATAGCTGTATCTAGGCCAAATATTGTCCTATCCTAACAAACCATACAGCAATGGAAAACGTATTTATTCAGCTTTCAGATGATGTATACATCTCAATTTTAAAAAACTGACCCTCATGACTGGTTTTGTGGTTCATGGTCACAAATGTAAAAAAAAAAGCTTGATGCCTGCCATTCCTGTTGAACCCATATGATGGCTAAATTACGGCACGCAAATAATTTTTAACCATAAAAAAAGACATAAAAATACATACAATTTAGCTTAAGTTCTTCAGAGAGAGAGAGAGAGAGAGTCAAAAAAGAAAGAAAGAATTAATTCTCATGATTGTAATAGAATACAGTAACGCGAAAATTAAATCATATAATATTTAAAGTACAACGTAGGCCTATTTATGCAATTTTCCCCCCTGCCTTTAATTGCATGTTAATTTAATAAAAATGTTTTATATAATTTTATAATTATTTTTTTGCTATATCATAATACCCCTTCTATTATTATTATTATTATTTCAACATGAATTGTAACTGTTAAAGATTGACAGTCAGTTCTTGTAAAGACGTTCACAGGCGCTTGTTGTAATGTCTTCACCCTCCACTAGATGGCGGAAAATTAACAGACATTTTAAATACAGGGTTATTACTGAGATCATAATTGTTTTCATATGCCCCTTAAAATGTCAAGTGTGTGAACATCTCAAGTGGACAGATTCAGGCCTATTCATGAATATCAGCCAGTCAGTTATTACATAAACAACATTTGAATTTAAAGAAGAGGTTTAAGAGACTGGTCAATTGTGAGTGTGTGTGTGTGTGTGTGTAGGATCCGGCTTCCTGTCAGTGGATATCCCTCCAGGAAATCGGAAGATGGTTCCACCCCCCTGTGGAGCCCCATGCCACTCATTTACTAAGAGAGAGATGTATTTGTAGTAGCTACAGAAATAGATATAGGCCTACGTTTTATTATTTGCGAGGCATTTTATGTTAATATCACTTGTTTATTTGCACTGCTGTTACTTGTATTTGCATTGCACATGTCATATGATATGGCATATTTGATATGCAAACTTGACAAGTATTTATTTATTTATTCAGTCATTTACTCATTTATTCAATTATATAATTAATTATTATGTTTTTATAATTGTTTAAATGTGTATATGTGTGGGGAAATAACATTGTAATATGTTCAAATCACTTTTAACAAGGCTGGCAAGGCAAGTAACCCATTTACCGTTCTGAACCCGCAATCATATTCTCAGTACAAATTAAAAGGTATTAATTTAGCTTGCAATGCCACAATGTAAATTATTAACTTTTTTACAAATTACAACACATTTTTCTGTCTAACAGAATGTTTAAAATCCTTTAAAATGTACAAAATTCACCATTTCAAAAGGAAAATCCACCAATTTCACAGAATGACCTATTTATTCTCTTTAAGATTTTTTTCCACATTTTTTTGTTCTCCCTGATTTAGTAAAGTTATGAGGACATTTTCTAGCAACTTGATCCCCAAACGTCAGAATCAGACACACACACACACACACACACACACACACACACGCACACATGTCTGGTTTGCTATGCTTGTGGGGACTCTCCATAGGCGTAATGCTTTTTCTACTGTACAGACCGTATTTTCTATTGCCCTACACCAACCCTACACCTAAACCTACCCCTCACATGAAACTTTCTGCATTTTTATATTTTCAAAAAACTTAATTCTGGGTGATTTATTAGCTTGTTTGCCCGTGGGGACCTCAATTTAGGTCCCCACCATGACACGAGTCCCCATGAGTCTGTGTGTATTCAGGTTTAAGTCTCCACCAGAATAGAAATACAGGTACACTCACACACACATATACAAAATGTGTGTAGAGGAAGGAACACGGCCCCTCCCGGCGGGTCCCGGATAGGAAGAGGGTGACGTCAGTGCGCTCCGCTCGCAGCAGATTCAGATTACAGTATACTGCGTGCGCTTGCGTGCTTGTGTTCTTGAACGTCGGATGGTGGGCTGGAGGAGGAAAAGCGTGTTTACACAGACGGGCCGAGCGCCTGGGGAATAGCGCACGGCGAGAGGAAGTGAGCCGGCTCGCTGTCTGCCTGCACCAACTTCCTGCTCAGAGAGAGAGAGAGAAAGAGAGAGAGAAAACAGTCGGGATCCCATTACAGTTCGACTGAGAGCTGCCGAGACGGCCGACAGCATGGAAAAACAGCGCATTATACGGAATTCTTTTTAATAAAGCGAAAAAGGACCCCAAAAAGCCTGACCATTACGCACAGGTATGTGAATAATCCATCCATGCTATTCGAACGTTTTATGCATGTTTGTTTTTAAATGTGTACTTACTTAATAATAACACTGAAAGGAAGAAACCTTCCAAAGTACACGACTGAAACTTGATATCCCCAAAAAAGAATGAACGTATACAAACGACGGAGCTGTTTGAAATGTTCAGAAGTGATGTTTGAGACTTAAATGTGTACAGTTATAAAGTAATTAGTGTTTAAACACGAATAGATCTCTTTTAGCAATAACAGACACAGAAGACAATTCAAGCGTCCACCTTACGCGCAATATACGCACCGTTTACGCACGGCTGAGGAAAGTTTGAATACCTGTTGAGCTCACGATTTCGTGACGTATATTTCAAAGATTTTGTTGGTTGTACATTCGAAAGCAGGGCTGCTAGAAAAGGCTGAAATTTGGCTCCTGGCGCTTTAAACGCACTAGTAGAGTTTCTGGTTTGTCTGGAAACAGCAGCAGACTAATTGCCATGCGCTTCCGGATTGAAACTGGCAGCAGACAGCATCTTGAAAATGAGTCATTGGGGCAAACAAAGAAACTTCAGTTCAGCCCTAGAGCTGATGTTACTCCTGTACTATGCTGGGGGTTATTTAAAATGATTGGAGGAGATCAATGTTTGTGAGCCCAAAATGTGTTTGGATACATGTATGGACTTCAGATAGCAGATGATGCTAGAGTTTCCTCAGATCTAACCCAAGATGTCCCCAAGTTCACCACAAGTGTCCTAGCATAGCAACCAGGTGTAGTTTGTCAAGTTCATGTTCAACTCTGACAACAATGGTCTTCATTTTAAACTGCTGTATTATCATTTAGAATGAATGTTTTGCTTTTAAAGCATGCTTGTGCCATCTTTCTTTAAATCTAATGCCACTTTGGATGCCATTTCCTTCTGTTTTGAAGTTTTGGACACACTGCATGTATTTTGCAGCCTTAATATTACTGTATTTGCCCTGAAATGGGTTAAAAGAGGAACCATCATTTTGATCAAACAGCCAGTTAGATTCAAACAGTTGAATGCAAAGAGTAAAATGCAGTGAAATCTAGTTTCATATAATCAAGGAATGCTTTCCAAGCCCTTTTTCCTAGCATAGCAACCAGGTGTAGTTTGTCAAGTTCATGTTCAACTCTGACAACAATGGTCTTCATTTTAAACTGCTGTATTATCATTTAGAATGAATGTTTTGCTTTTAAAGCATGCTTGTGCCATCTTTCTTTAAATCTAATGCCACTTTGGATGCCATTTCCTTCTGTTTTGAAGTTTTGGACACACTGCATGTATTTTGCAGCCTTAATATTACTGTATTTGCCCTGAAATGGGTGAAAAGAGGAACCATCATTTTGATCAAACAGCCAGTTAGATTCAAACAGTTTAATGCAAAGAGTAAAATGCAGTGAAATCTAGTTTCATGTAATCAAGGAATGCTTTCCAAGCCCTTTTTGACTATTATATCTATATTTTTGTGCCATAATATTTCTGTATTTTCCATGAAATTGCTTAAAAGAGGAACCATCATTTCAATAGAACAGCCAACCTGATAAAAAAAAAAAAAGTTTAATGCAAGCATTCCAAAATCTAGTTTAAAGTATAAGGAATGTTTTCCTTTTTGATATTTTGCTACTAAAAGCTATGATATTTTAAAGTGTCCGCACTCTTTCTGAAGCCACTATATGGACACAGACACGCCGCCAGACGTTCTTGGATCTGTCTGCGTAATTTCAAGAGCTGCAGCTCTCTCTGGAGAAATGTGGTCGTGGAGAGAAGTCCTTCACGGCTCTCTTTTCTCCCTCTCTTCAGCAGGAGCTCCCTGAATTTTCCACTGCAGTCTGTGTGCGCAGGAAGAGCGCACATTTAGTCATGACGAAGTAATGTCTGCGCACACCAACTAATCTCATTACGAGTTTCCGCTGGCACTACAGTGGAGGGGTTTGTGAGCGCGACAGCAAGTTTGGTGTTTAAAAGCTGTCTAGGGGCCATTCAAAACACTGGGCTTGGGGTTTTGGGTCCAAACTGTCCCTGCGTGTCTGTTGCATGAGTCTTGAAGGGTGTGAGCGTGTCACTTTACGCTGGAGAGAGCCTGGAGTGCATCTTCTCACCTGAAAGATTCTCCTCTTTCCCCTTTTATATATACACACACATGCACACGCAGTGTGTGAAACTTTAAAAATCAGCCTTATCAGGCAGTATATGTTGCCTGTTAAGCCATTGACAGACTGAGCTGTTGTCTACAGACATGTTCCTCCTGTCTACTTCCTGTATGGTTAGATGGGTTGGATAGATTTGATGGTGCGCATGGGTTTTCTTGGCGTTTTCCATTGGCATTTTTTGAAAACAAGCTCCAATAGAGTTTCTCACCTGTGGCAATCTGAGAAAAAAAGTTCAGCTGTACACTGAAAAATGACTCGAAAAGCACAATTTTTAGTAGTACATTTTGACCGTATAAAATTAAGTAAAATCTACTTTGTAAAATAATATTAAATACGTATATCTAAAATTCATATATATCTGCAACTTGCAATTGTAGTTGTATTTAAAATAGTAAAACTAAATAACATCTAAATTAATAATGAATATACATGAACACTGATCATTTTTTGGAAACTAACTACAACTAGCTCAATTTTTGGTACACAAAACACAATTATGGTGGGTAATTTTTGAGCAGTAGAAAATTAACTCAAAACGCAAAACAAGAATATAACAGCAAAATTAACAAAAGTGCAAATAAAACTGGCAAATAGTGAAAAAACATGACCTTAATTATTCATTCCCCAATGCAATATGGGAACAGTGCATTGTAAATGTAGGTAGTTTTATTAAATGTTATACTTTTTTAAATCTATTGCAAAGTTTTCTACTTTGAAACGAATATGAGACACCGTTATAGATAAATCAAAGAAGCAAATAAGTATTTGAGTAGATTTTAAAGTTCAGATAATTTATTGGAGAAAATAATCAATCTTTTCCGCTGTATTTACTTCACAACAAATTTGTTCAGTGTATTTTCTACAAAGTAAACTCAGAAATTGAGAGTTTTTCTGAGGCAAATAAACATTTAAAGTGGTAAAACAGTTTATTTTCTTACTGATGCTTAGGCTTAGATGGCATCTGTAGACTTTTTTCACATTTCCTGCACTATTTGGGGAAAAAAACATGGTTAAACAGAAATAAAGAGTACTACTCTTATTGTTAAAATATTTAATAAACAAACATGATTGCTTGACAAGCGGATGTTGAGAGACAGAATCCCTGTGGACCTACTGATGCCATCTAACTGTAAAAACTATGAAATAAACTTCACTTATTTCATCCCAAATTTCATGCAGTGTGTTAAAACATCTTTAAACCTAATGACCATGAAGCTGATGCATGCCAGACAACGGCAGAAGAACAGAGCCAATGCAGCGCTATGTTCGAGTGTGTCTTTTTGTTTAGCGCACACTGTCTTTTATTTATTTGTGTGTCTTAGAAAATCCTGGCTAAGGGTTCAGACTTGGCTTCTGCACAGTTTATGTCATTGCTCATATTGAAAGATAAAAAAAAGAGACTTTGCATGTGCAGTTTTTTTTTCCATTTTTCCCCTCTTGCGATAATCTAACAATGACTTTTACAGCCACGTTCCGTGCAGAAACCTCTCCAAACTGCCAAGAGCTTTTGAAATCAGCTCGCTCCGTTTATTCCCTTTGATTAGGGCAGTAAATCTGGGTATCAGTGAGTCCGTTGATCATGGTGTCACACAAAGCATGTCTGTGTTTAGATGTCCATATGGGCGAGAGGTTTGTGCCAGCATGAAAAGAGAAGAGGAAGCCTCCCATTTGTGCCTTGTGTCCGTGTGGTCCCCGTGTTCCTGTGTTTGCTCCCCGCAGCAGGAATTCCTACCTTTCAGTTCAGGATCGGCATTCCCAGGAAGACGCCCTTCAAAGGAGAATTGGAGGAAGTCCTGATATAGACAGTTTTACGGTCGTTTAACGCAGATGCTCCGCTCAGAGGATGCTGGAGCAGGAAATGGTTTTATTTCACTTCTTTGGGGGTTTGGAAAAAATAACTGGGTATGTGGCGTACGGCGAGCTTTCATGTTTTGCCCAAGAGTTAAGTATGAGATGTGACTGTAAATTGCTACATGAGTATGTATAATGAGATCTGTGTCACATATGTAGAAGAGTATTCAATGAGCATGTGTGTGTGTGTGAGAAAGCAGACAATACTTCCTGATAAATATCTGTAGCCTGTATTGGCAGCATTTTCTGAGCACTTCCTCCTTTGTCACCACAGGTTTGGCCGAATCTTGCTGTTTGTGTCTCTTTACACTCCCTCTGGCTGATATTCCAACCAAAAGCATCTGAAAAGACAAAAATGAAAGTCGTGCACACCAAATTATGAAGCAGAAAGTCAACATGATCAAAATCTTAATACATGTTCCAGGTTTTCAGGAATTATCCACTGATTGTTATTCCAAAGTGAAAAAAATGTACTTATTTTCTTAAAATATTTACAAAATTTCCAACCATTTTTCACAATTCAGTTGATTTCTGATGGATACTTAAGTGTTTTATGTACAAATGTTACATTACTACATTAAAATGTAATAACATTTTTATTTTCATATTTTCTTAAAACATTTACTCATTTTGCAAACATTTTTCACAACATTGATTCCCGGTGAATAAAATCAAAAGTTTTATTCAGAAATGTCTATTCATCAAAATGTAATAAACCTAATGTAATAAATTTACTTTTCTAATTTTCTTAAAATATTTACTCATTTTCCAACCATTTTTCACAATTAAATATTCCCAGGAAGACGCCCTTCAAAGGAGAATTGGAGGAAGTCCTGATATAGACAGTTTTACGGTCGTTTAACGCAGATGCTCCGCTCAGAGGATGCTGGAGCAGGAAATGGTTTTATTTCACTTCTTTGGGGGTTATAACTATATGTAAAAAATAACTGGGTATGTGGCGTACGGCGAGCTTTCATGTTTTGCCCAAGAGTTAAGTATGAGATGTGACTGTAAATTGCTACATGAGTATGTATAATGAGATCTGTGTCACATATGTAGAAGAGTATTCAATGAGCATGTGTGTGTGTGTGAGAAAGCAGACAATACTTCCTGATAAATATCTGTAGCCTGTATTGGCAGCATTTTCTGAGCACTTCCTCCTTTGTCACCACAGGTTTGGCCGAATCTTGCTGTTTGTGTCTCTTTACACTCCCTCTGGCTGATATTCCAACCAAAAGCATCTGAAAAGACAAAAATGAAAGTCGTGCACACCAAATTATGAAGCAGAAAGTCAACATGATCAAAATCTTAATACATGTTCCAGGTTTTCAGGAATTATCCACTGATTGTTATTCCAAAGTGAAAAAAATGTACTTATTTTCTTAAAATATTTACAAAATTTCCAACCATTTTTCACAATTCAGTTGATTTCTGATGGATACTTAAGTGTTTTATGTACAAATGTTACATTACTACATTAAAATGTAATAACATTTTTATTTTCATATTTTCTTAAAACATTTACTCATTTTGCAAACATTTTTCACAACATTGATTCCCGGTGAATAAAATCAAAAGTTTTATTCAGAAATGTCTATTCATCAAAATGTAATAAACCTAATGTAATAAATTTACTTTTCTAATTTTCTTAAAATATTTACTCATTTTCCAACCATTTTTCACAATTAAATTGCCTCCTGAAGGATAAAATCAAGTGTTTTATTTAAATGTCACATTACCAAATCAAAACGAAAAACAAAGAAAACAAAAACTTTACTAAATTTTACTATTAAAACTTTAGTTTTATTATTTTCTTACAATATTTACAAATTTTTCATGATCCAGTTGATTTCCAATGGATAAAACCAAGTGTTTTATTAGAAAATACATCACTTTACTACATCAAAAAATATAATAACTTTTCTTTTTTTCATTTGTAAATATTTGTAAATATTTTTTATATTATATTATATTATATTTACTCATTTTGCAACCATTTTTCATAATCCTACTGATTCCCAATGACATTATTTGGAAATACATCACATTACAGAAGCATAACGTGTCACGAACACCATTTCATGTTGACTTCAAGTGTTTTAGGTTTGATTTTAGCCTGTCCTGCTAGACTTTGGGGTCGTTTGCTCCTTTCGGCTCATTATTTGATCAATCCCTTGATGACTTCCAGAGCCGGCAGTTTGATGAGCGAAAACCAGGGTGAAAGTTTAAGCTTGTGTCTTTGTCAAAAATATGACAAAAACTTTCCCAAAATAAGGCCGTCTGCAACCAGGGAGTTCCACTTGGCCAATAAAACATGCTCCGTGTCAGAGCTATCCACACGTGTGAGTCATCCAGCCTTGTTTCTCCATCTACCACTCCGTCTCGTTCGTTCCCTCCATCCGTCTCGGGAGAGCGTTGGCTCAGACAGCAGGAAGGCTGCAGTAAATGCCAGCCCGCCCTGTTTGACTGACTTACAGTTACCAAAGGGCATGATGTAACGCTAGTTAAAACTGAGGAGTGTGTTCAAACACACACACACATTTGACAGCTTTGAATTCGAGTCAAACTGGTTTCCTCATGTCTATTGAACGCCTCTCAGACCTCAACCTGAGGTCCTTTACTGTTCCTCCACCCAGGGCTTCCTGGTGTCCTGCATCCCAACACTCAACACCATCCCCTCAACTTAAATTTGTTTATACACCAGTTATCCACTGAAAATAAGCAGAAACTCTGTGCTACAACATATTAAGTATATGCATGTTTCTTAAAGGGACAGTTTACCTAAAAATGAAAAGTCTGTGGTCGTTCATGAGCCATCATGATGTTCCAAAGCTGCTTCATTTTCTCTGTTCTGAAACACAAAAGGAGACATTTTGAACAATGTTCATGCTGCTCTTTTTCATACAATGAAAACATGCACATATTGAAACGTGTGCTTTTATGTGATCTTAGAAGATTTGATAGTTCACAAATCATATTGGATTACTTTTATGATAATTTTATGGTGCTTTATTTATTTGTTTGTTTGTAAGCAACTGGTCTATTTTTATTTATTTATTTGTTTGTTTGTTATTATGTTATAATCTAAAGTGATTTCATGATTTTTCATAATTAAAAAATAGATAATTAAGTTATTAAACATTTTAATTATTTATATTTAAATGAAAGATTTAATAACTGCACTTGAGAAAACATTTCTAGAAATATTAAGTAGCAAGTGTACTGAAAATACTTATTTCTAATTTTATATATACATTTATTTATGTTAGTTATTTTTTCATTGTTGTACGTTCCTAATTGTATATTGCATTTTATTTTCAACTTGTTATTTTAACTTGTAACAGGTTAACTTGCCTGTTGTTTGAAAAGTAAAATGTTAGACTTGTTACCATAAAAAGCTCAATAAAACAATGAAAATGTTGCATCCCCTGGTCAAAGTGTACAGGTTTTATAATGTATATATAATTTTTATATTTCCTAAACTTTAACCAGGGATGTAGAGGAAGAGGTTATGAGAGTACACTAAGGGTAAGCATGTGGCTAAAGGGCATGACGACAGCGGTCACAGGAAGTGGCCCAAGCAAGATTTAAACTTCCTTTACTGTTGGGCTTTTAACATTGAACCACTGCACCTTCCTGTTGGAGTCAATCCCAGACCGCATGGATGAAAAAACTCACTCCTGTTCAGTAGAAAATCCTTATCTTACACCCAATGGATCCAGACTGACTGCAGCTTTGTTGTCTAAATCTAAGTGTGCTGAAAATAATTAATTTGTCTTTTTTGTCAGTTTTTTTATGTCTTGTGCAGGACAGTTTAGCATCACTCAAGTCATGTTGTCCAAACTATAAATGTTACAATGAAAGGCTCTGCTTATGTCTAAGGTTTCTTGAAGGAATGTGAGCAGATATCATTGTGCACATCCTGTTTCGTGAGATCGCAGCTTCCTGTCTGTATCCAACCACAGCGCCAGAATATAAAGAGCACTTTTAACCATTTTGTGCTCTGAAACCCATTCACAAAAACTGGACGATCTATCAGTCTTTATCTTCAACATGGGCGGCCATGGTGTATAAAGATTAAGTATGTGTGTCTGTGCATGTTGGACTAATTTTGGCAGTATTAAAGTCTGATAATAACGGTTTGGGTGATGTTGAAGGATTACGCAGCAGATCAATTTAAAGGGAAGTGTTTGACTTCATGTTTTTCATTACTGTTATTCTGGATCAGCCGGTATTTTGATCAAATGGAACTCAGATATAGCGACACTATTGTTTAAAAATTTGGTGTTTTTTAATGTTAAAAAATGTATTTCTTTAAAAAACAAAACAAAATGATCCCAAATCTTTGAACTGTATTGGCGTTTTGAACTGAATTTTCATTTTTGAGTGACCTATACCTTTAAGAATTCCCTTTCTGTTTGTTGTAGGTTTTGGCTCTAGTTTTGGGACATTTGAACTATTGTGTGCCCCCTTAATCCCACTTATCTCTACCTGGTCACCCTAATCTGTTCCTAAACAGGATCTTGTGAATAAACTCCATGTTTACCCTGTTAGTAATCTCTGTTCACCAGTGGGTGTATTTGCCTGCCTTTGAGTGGACACCTCCGTCCCAGAGAGTTCAGCAGCACGGTCGATGCTGGAACATGTTGCTTATTTGCGATTCATTCCCGTGTCAGTCTTTCTGGCTGATAGCTCTTTGTTGTTTATGAGCCTGTGCATTAATGTACAACAGAACAGGAAATGCTTGCAGAGTTTGTGGGAGGGCACTCAGGAATGACGTTTTTTGTTCATGCGAGAGATGAAGAGTGCAGAGGGAAAAGGGGAAATTAAAGGAAGACGATGAATTCAGGAGCGTTCTTTAATGTGGCCGCGTTTGTACGGCTGATGCTCTGGCCTCTCCCTTTTCACCACTTCCTGTTCAAAACCTGCATGAATATGGTTAAAGGAAGTTTTTTTTTTACGAATGCAGTAAAGCTGGGAAGGATGTCTGATTATCAGATCAATTGAAACAACGCGCCGGTCCGCGCTTATTCACAGACATATACTAAATTTGGCTTTGGGGTACCACAGCATCTTCCTTCAGATCCTCAATCCTTGTTAGGGTCATTAAACGTGTCCTTAAGCCACCTTTTCTTTCCCAATAAACACACAATGCATGCAGACAGAGTGTAAATTTGGCTAATTTGAATTAGATTGAAACTCTTTTGAAATTACGCCACACTCTCACCTCGGTTACAACGATATGCACATTTTAAATCAGAACAAGAAGCAACAGCTTTGTTACAAAACAGCAACGGTCTTAAAAATAAAGTTTCTATATTAGCATTCCATGAAAAACCTTTTAAATCTATGGAATCTTTCCTTAAAAGTTCTCAAAAGAACCATTTTTTCTTAGTGTGTAGAGCATGTGTTAATCAAAAGTAACTTTTTAAGAACCTTGCGCATTGGAAAGGTTCCATGGATGTTAAAGGTTCTTCATGGAACTATTGATGCCAATAAAGAACCTTTTTTTTTTTTGTAAGAGTGTACAGTGTGAACTGTAGAGTCTGACTTATGAACAAATGACTCTCTAACCGATTCCTTGGAATTAATCCGTCAAAAATACTCACAAACAGTCTCAAACTCACAATCTGAATTGGTCTAATGACCCCACACTCTTATAGATAAAGGTTTCAAAAATGGGTTTTCCACATCGAAAAAGAAGAACCATTTTTGGTTCCGAACTTTTCAGTGAACAGTTCTTAAAAAAAACATTTAACTAGGTTCTGGAAAAGAATATCAGCCCGATTATGATTATTAAAATGTAAACTGTTAATGTTTATAATTTTACCTCTCTTGTCTGACAGATATGGAGAGTGCTATCACGCTGTGGCAGTTTCTGCTGCAGCTACTGCTGGACCAGAGCCATAAGCACCTGATTTGCTGGACATCCAACGACGGCGAGTTCAAGCTACTCAAATCGGAAGAAGTCGCCAAACTCTGGGGCCTGCGCAAGAACAAGACCAACATGAACTACGACAAACTTAGCCGAGCACTACGCTATTATTATGACAAGGTTACACACGCTCGTATTGGATGAATGCAACAATTTTACGAGGTGGCGATTTTGTAGTGAATTTATACGATGTGATTTGTATGGAAAATTTTACACCCCTACAGCCAACCGTCAATGGGGCATTAGCAGATTGTACTAAAACGTATGACCAAGATTGTACAAATTCATATGAATTAGCCACCAGTTCAGGTAAAATAGTTACGAATTGCCATTTGAGTGTATTGTAATCCTTTTTCTTTTGCAGAACATCATAAAGAAGGTGATTGGCCAGAAGTTTGTATACAAGTTCGTCTCGTTCCCTGATATTCTGAAGATGGATCCCCAAGCGGTGGAGCTCGGTCGGGACGGGGGTCACGTCGCAGGGGGCATCATGTTGCAGGAGGTGGAGTCAGATTGCGGCGAGGGGGAGGAATCTCCAAAGCTGTCGCTGTCATCGCTGAGAAGCCCCACCTGCAGGAACGAGTATCTCCACTCTGGTCTGTACTCGTCCTTTACAGTCAGTTCCCTCCAAAGCCCGCCTCCACTGCTGCGTCCAATCAAAGTCGAGAAGCAGCGAGGGGGCGAAAGAGGGGAGGAGGGACAAACGGTGATTCGCTTTGTCACTAATCGATCAGAAAAGGTCGTTCCCCTGGCTTCCTCGCCGCCACCTGCATCCGCGGAGGTCTTCTTCGCTTCAAAAACCTCCCCTTGTTCATCCTGTAGCCCCTCCCCTTCTCATAGCCCTGTCTACACGCTGCGGCCGGAGCGCAGCCCGGAGGCTCGCGTAGACGAATCAGAGCAGAGCGCTCAGCCTCTAAATTTATCATCCGGCCACAGGGAGCGAGCCCAGAATCGGGCCACGCTGCTTACATTTAACATAATATCATACATTATTGATCAATATTGTTAAAATTTAAATAAAACATTTAATTTTAGACAATATTTTTATGCTATGCTCATTAGAATATTGTGTAGTTAGCTTAGCAACATGCTAATGTAAAGTTCTATTGGATTCAGTTGTGAGAAGGCAAGGCAGCTTTGTTTTTAACAAATAGGTAATATTGGTCTGATTATGTTAGTGTTGACCAGGCTAATTTTATCATTCTCATACATTAGAATTGTACTTATTACAAAAGTATTAACAAAAACAGTTTAGTCTAAGTAAAAATTGACTATTTATTCCAATATGCTATAGTACAATATAAATGCAATGTACTTTTATACATTTTTATGGCAGCGTATCATGTTGTTAGCTTAGCAAGAAGCAAATTTTGCACTAGTATTTAGTTGCTGCCTGTGTAGATCTTTCGGATTAGGTTACATTTCGTTGTAGGAAGCTTTCAGGTTTTGGAACTGAGCTATAAATGAACACAAAAACATCCTCTCCGGCACTGTTTATAAGCGTTCAACAGGTAACAAATAGACAGGACACACACCTATACTGGTAATACAGCTACTCTATGAGACGTTTCGGTCTTTACTGGGTGTGTAGGGAGAAATGCGTGGCAGGCAGACGGGTTTTTAAAAAGAGGTAGAGTGAGACAGGAAGAGGAAAAAGACAGACAGAATGGCATAAGCGAGAAAAGAGAGACCTGTAAGTAAAGCCATATGTCTGTAATCTCACACACTACAGCATAGTGACACAGGACAGAGAAAAACTGAGCGAGAACGAGAAATTGATTTCACGTGCTGCCCTATAGCCACAACCTGGTGATCCAAAGTCCATGACCCATGGGAAGCTACATGCTTGTGTGGATTTTTCTCCCACTTTCTCTCTTAAAGGGACAGGTCACCCAAAAATTAACTTTGTCATCGTTTATTTACACTCATGTTGTTCTAAACATGTATGACTTAGTTTTGATGCAAACGCAAGCACATGTATACGCTGTTTGATAGATTGCATGAACACAGACTTTTCATCCTTGTCCATGTTTGCGCTATTTCTCTCCGAACGTTTTACACATTTAAACTAGAGTTTCCAATATCTGTTAACCCCATTTGTCATCGCAGGTGTCTATAGGGGCTTTCGCACCGGAGGAACCTTTTCATAGTTCCTAGAACTATTGGCGAAAGTTCCCGCTTTTTGCCGTGTTCGCACTGCAAGAACTAGGAACCTATTTAGTTCTAGGAACTCCATTTGGGGGAACTAAATTAGCTATTATAAGGAGTAGGGTCTAAAACAGTTCTATAGACCAATTTAGAGTAGACGTCACAGTTACGTCACTTGGCTATCTCTCCCGGGTTTTCTGCAACCATGATGCGCGCGCATCCTGAATGTTTACAAACCGGTAATTGGTCTATAGGAACTATAATTGACACGGTGTACACTGATTGGCCAAACACACACGAAACACCGACTACCCGGCATTTTTAAAAAGCCATTTAAAAAATATTTACTCCATGAACATGGAAAACCACGATAACGGTATTTACCTGTTGTCTGCGTTATTGTGTTCTTTTCTTTTCTGAGTTCCCCGGGTTTTCTGCAACCATGATGCGCGCGCATCCTGAATGTTTACAAACCGGTAATTGGTCTATAGGAACTATAATTGACACGGTGTACACTGATTGGCCAAACACACACGAAACACCATTTTTGACAGGAATGAAAATGAGGCTGTGAGGGATAGAAGTACAGTGTGTTCAGTAGTTTTTACTGTTATTTAACAGCATACTGACTGTCCAGCCGATGAAACTCCATAAAACCCTTTTGAAAGTTGGCGAGAATTACGAAATCTAGGACCTTCATTGACTGTGTGCCATTGTAAAGACTGTAATGGTGTGTGCACACCAAAAGCAAGACATGAATTTGCGCCGGGCACCGTGAATTATGTGAATTGGGCAATGCGATTGCCACAAACGCGCAATGTATGCTTCAATCGCATCTTCTGCGCAAGTTGAAACATTTCAAGCAAGTGAGCGGAAAATTCACAAGACGCATTGTTGCGCAAGACAATCAGCGAAGAGCTTATTGACAAGTCCAGTTTGACACGTCCGGTTGTATCCGAAAATGGAGAAGAGCATTATGGGATGATTTTATTCACACGATTGCGACAAAAAAAACATCCTGTGAGTAATCTAGAGTGATAACGCGATGAGAATATTCGCTTCGTGTTTGGTGTGTACACACCATAAGTCTATCCATCACATCCCCATTTACATTCAATATTGCATCTAACTTGACTAAGTTCCATTGTATGACGTCAGAAAGTTTGAAATATAGTGCACAAGCCGTATGGACTAATTTAATGGTGCCTTTTTGGAGCAGTGTTGCCAAGTCCGCGGTTTTCCCACGGAATTGGGCTATGTTAACATTGTTGTCGCGGGTTGTTTTTCATGTTTAAGCGACCCCAATAACGTGATATTTAGCCCCTAAAATGCGAATTTTACCAGGGGAACCCCATCAAAAAAAAAAAGAAGTGTATTTTACCCCCCAGAACACAATTGGGCTAGTTTTGAGTAGCAATTAGGCGGGTTTTGTTGTGAAAACCTGGCAACCCTGTTTTGGAGTTCAACAGTCCCTGGTCACCTTCGGAAAATTGAAATTGGGACAATTGTCCACAAAAGACAAAGTTAAACAGATTTTGAATGACATGAGTTTGAGCACATGACGAAAGTTTAATTGGGGGTGAACTGTTGCTTTAAACATACTGAAACATCTACAATAGACAGACAGTTATTTCATAACATGAGATTGAGCAAAATGCTCCATCCGCTTGGACACATAAAATAAGCGTCAGCTATGTCCAGGACAGTCGTCCTACTGCTTACAGGCATTGCATTTGTGCAAAATACCTTTGATGCTCCAAATTTGTCCTGTTCAGGTGAAAAAATCTGGGACGATTAAAAAAATCTGGGAAGATTTTTTTAAAGGGGTTCTCAGACTACTTTGAGCACATGACGAAAGTTTAATTGGGGGTGAACTGTTGCTTTAAACATACTGAAACATCTACAATAGACAGACAGTTATTTCATAACATGAGATTGAGCAAAATGCTCCATCCGCTTGGACACATAAAATAAGCGTCAGCTATGTCCAGGACAGTCGTCCTACTGCTTACAGGCATTGCATTTGTGCAAAATACCTTTGACGCTCCAAATTTGTCCTGTTCAGGTGAAAAAATCTGGGAAGATTTTTTTAAAGGGGTTCTCAGACTACTTGTGCATGACAGGCTTCACATGCTATCGCCTGCAAACTGACGCAAATACGTGCCTGGACATGCAGAGACTCACATTCTCTTTCCAAAGTTTCAAAAAGACACTGGGATTTCATGATCCATGACTTCAGTGACTAATACAAATAACATCTCATGTTCCTGTTCCCCCCTTTCACAATACCTCCCCCTACTCCTCTCTCTCTCTTCAGACTCCCTCTGGTTTGCTGTTGACACCCAGTCCTCTCCTGTCCTCCATTCATTTCTGGAGCAGCCTGAGTCCCGTAGCCCCTCTCAGCCCAGCCAGGCTACAGGGCCACGGGTCACTCTTTCAGGTAAGCACAAAACATTCTCAAACCTATAAAAAGAGGAATCTGAATGTGAGGATGTGTTTTCGCAATGACATTCGAGTGTGTTTTAGAAACTGATTCGCTTTTCTGTTTTGGGAGCGTGTTTGTGTTTGGTGTCATGTTTCAGCTTTCATGTGAGCGAGAGGGGAAATCCTGTGGATACTTCCTGTTCTGGCCCGGGGGAGAGTGAGTGTGTAGGGAGGTGTGTGTGTGTGTGTGTGTGTGTGTGTGTGTGTGAGTGAACAAAAAAGACAGAACGCAAACTGTATATTTATGCTCATCTCGCTTTTTGAGGGGAGGGTCCAGTCTTTACTGTAAACATCGCTAGCCAGCAGGAAACCATTAAGGTAACCACAAGCGACTGCTTGGCTCCGCCTTTACAGGAATAGTGACAGTTCGTGATGTGCACTTTTACTACCGCACACACACACACACAGACAGACGTACACTCACTCCCCTACTCTCACTTCCTCCCTGGGCGGCCGTAGTGGGAGATTTCTGGTTGGTCACATGATTGTCGTTCCTGCCGGTTTTGGCTGCAGTGGAAAACTTTTGTGGCACATCTGGCTTTTATTCTTTCACAGTGCAATTCTTCTTTGGGTTTTTTTTGTTGTTGATTTTCTATACCTGTAAAACATATACCAGGAAAAGTAGATGCTTTTGAGATGTTTTTGAGTCAATCCGGAAAATGGATTTACTGGTGTGTGTGTGTATTAGGGTTTGGAAATAAGCTACAGATGTTTCCTCTTTGCATTGGATATGGGGGAAAACAGCTTCCTGTTAAAAAAGGGAGGGGGTGATAACTGAAAAAGACTCTGTGTCTGTGTGTATAGTCAGCTCTCACATAACAGGAAGTTCCTCTCCTAGCGCTACCGTGATGGACTACAAGCGTGTTTGTTTTGTGAACCACAAAGACAGGGTGTTTTGTTTTTTCCTCACAGAGGTGTATTATGGAGATATTTACAGAAACTGTTAAGAAATGCCCAGGTATTCTTTAAAAAATAAAAAGTAGTAAATTAAATGGCTTTATTTTTCTTTGTTCTTTTTGAAGCCCAATTTTAAGTACACTTTATGGTGGCATTTGTTGTACTGAATTCAAGTTATGGTATTTTTAGAAATGAAAGAATAAGGCAAATAATTTAATCATTTAATAAAACATTAATTTCTGTATTACAGGAATAATATTTCTGGGGAAAATGTCCTGAAAATGTCATCACAATACCAAAATCAGTCCAACAGGCTTATTTATTTATAAATAAAATAAACATTTAAAGATAATATAATAATTCAAATAACAATACTGCTACTAATAGTAATAATAGCACATATAAGGACACATGTCCATTTCACCTGAAAATCAGAAATAACAAACTAAATAAATAAATATATATAAACAAACGTTATCTAACCAAATAAATAAATAAATAAATAAATAGTAAAAAAAATAATAAATTAAATGCAGGTAGTATTTAACCTCAAAATCTAAATTAATTAAATAAAAGGTAATAATAATACATTTAACAAAAAAAACATCCGGAAATGCCCCCCCCCCAAAAAAAATCAACAACAACAAAAACAAAGATATAATAATAATAATAATTAAATATTATTTATAAAATAGAATTTATATCCTATTAAATAATACCTGGACATTTCTTGATAAGATTGAACCATTAAGATGTGTGAACTATTATTTGATCCAGTTAATTTACTGTTAGATGACATTTCCTGATACAATAATTTGAATGCCCCCCCCCCCTCCCCCACTATAAGGCATTTGCTGTATAGTTAGTAAACATAGTATATTAAGACATTGTGATTCAGTATGTGTAGCATTACCTCAATGTCCTGTTTGCTTTCTGACTCTCACAGTTCCCGACCCTGCTGAATGGGCCGCTCCCAGTACCCCTCCCCAACCTGGACTCCTCTTCATCATCCTCCTCCTCCTCTCTCCTCCTCTCCTCCAGCGCCCAGAAATCCTGATTTCTGGACACTCCACATATCCCCTCCCCAGAATCATACCTTTGCTCTCACACTAAGAAGGAATTATGGACCTTCATGTCATTTTTGAGCCAGACTGCACTTCACCCCCTTGTGGCCACCTATACCTATAGCACCCTTCAGTTCTGTTGAATTTTGGACCAGCAAACTGTTTTTTTCTTCTTTAACTCAGGCTGCAATCCAAACAGCTCACCAAAATTCCTCCCCAAGCTCTTAAAATAGGGAATTATGATGAGGTAATGCCAAAACACATGAAGTGTCCTTTTGAGAAGATGGTGAGTCATTGGAAACAGAGCCTTAGAGAATCTGTATCCTGGAGAAAGTGGCAAGTTATGCAAGCTATTTTTCATAATCTCAATTTCAGATAGATACAAACGATGCTGGACGACGTAAACACGTTTAAAACAGCGTAGACTTTCTAAAGCAAAACTTCAGCGTTCCCTACTGTTCTCCATTCCTAAGGTGCTTCAACTGGAGAGATCTTGACCAGTTCAAAAAGAAGAAATGTTTAAACCATATTAAAGGAATCTCATTAGCATTTAAGTCTCTTTTTAATCTTTCCGAGGCTGTGAACCGGGTTTCTGTTCGTTTGTTGTTTGTCTGGTATTGTATTGTATAATATTGCGTTGTATGCACTGTGCTTCAAATGTACTACCGGCTGTGCCTTTTTTGTGGAAGAATTGTTTATTTGTATTATTTTCCTGCTTAAATACGTTTTTGTAATAGACGAAATTCCATTGCAATATTGGAAAGAAAAGCTTTGTAATAGCTTCCGTTTTTTTTCATTAATGAATTGATTTAAAAAAAAAAAAGTGTATTCTCGTATTAATTTTATATTTTTTGCTTTTCAAGAATCAAGAAAATGTGCCTTGTATTTAAAATAAACAAGCGTTGAATGCGACGCAACGCTCTCGCGTCTGAACGAACACCTTGTATTTGTAGATGAAATGCACACAGACACACACACAAATATAATAAACAGACGACAGAGAGTTCGCTGTATGAAACAGACCATGTTTACTTCACTGATTAAGAGAAATAAATATCTGCAGTACAAAGAGTTAAACGGTCAATTCAGCCGACAGCTGGTACTGAGTGTTTCACGGAGGCGGAGCTTACAGGACACCACGCACTCCATGCGTCACGTATACACACGCAATCACGCACACACGCACGCACGCATCTCCAGAAACAATCGACTCCGATTTGACGATATTAATTAACATTTGTCAGTTCAAAAAAACAAAAAACAGTCATCTAAAATCTGTTTGATATCTTCTGCTTTCTTCATGTTTATAAATGCTGGGAAAAAGAAACATTGGTCCAACGCTGCTGTCAAAATTTTTGTTGTTGTTATTACCTTTTTTCTTTTATACACACAATATCGTTTTCTCTTCTGAATAAAATCAAGCACAAATGTGGGACAGTCGGACTCCAACATGCCACATTAAGATACCATTATTCACAGAGGGGTCAATATGTAACATTAAAAAAAAAACAATCTCTTAATACTGTTAGTGAAACTAGCTCATCTTCATAGCCATTGCTTGCATGGAGCCTTTAAATGGCTCTGTACAGTTACAGATCTCCATTTTCACACATACAACCTCACTTGTCGCATCTTTTACAAGAGTCGCATACACTCGTAAGCTACAGAGGAGCTCTATTAATAGAAAAAACTGGTTTTGATGATGCATCAGGAGCTCCAAAGGTCAAAGAAAGAATTAAAAACACATCTGGCATACAAGCACTTCAGTTCCAATAGGATCACTCTGAATGAATGCAAAAGGAGAGATGGTCCGGTTCTCAGTCCAAAACGGGGAGGTCACAATGTTCCTGCTGGTCCAGTGTTTGTTTTTTCCACCCTCATTCTGCAAGTCCACCTGGTCGAGATGGTCCCTGGTTCACGTGACGCGGCCTTTGAGGAACAAATCCACTCTCTTTCTTGAAATGATACGTTAAAATTGGAGGTTTTGGAATGAATGTTTTGAATCTGTCGCTCGGTTTGAAGCGCAATCGCCATGCCAGAAAACCAAAAGCAAATTCTAAACACTCGTATAGGCATTCCACCTCTGTAAAACCAACAAAATGACAAACCGACAGCTGCGATCCCAACATTTTTTTTCAACAGAATTATAATCGTTCTTTTAAAACAAAACAAAAACGTGGGACTGATGGGTCCACGAGGGTTGCCCCAAGAGTGAGGAAGTTACGTAGAGACAGTAGTCAATTAGCAGCAAAACAACCCCTCTGTCAATAAATATATACACGTTCACACGCTCGCACACCCTAAGCGTCACATAGGGGAAGGGGAAGGGGCATCCAGACGAGGGGCCGATGGGCGCTCTGGCTCAAGGCTGCATGCTGGATGGCGGGACACTGGGGGAGGGGTGGGGGGGGGGAGAGACAGTGGGTTTGGCCAATCCCCTTCACCACGCATGCACACGCAACAAACACCCCTCTCTCTGTGAGCGAAGGGTGACTAAGTCTGTTAGTCTATACAACACAGTCACGGAGTAAGAGCTGTCGAACTGATCCGTCAAGTGTGTGTGTGTGTGTTTGTGTGCTTGTGTGAGAGTGTGAGAGCGATGGGCAACAGTGTGAGGGAACGCAGCTTAAAACAGCATGCTCTGCCGTCTGTTCTTGCTGTTGCCTGTGAGGAGAGAGACAGAAGGATGAGAGTGAAAAGGAGCAGAGAACAGAGGTGTACAAGGTTACAAAATATGTCTTATAAAGATTAATTTTAAATATTCAGTTAAGAAATTAATTCGCTTTATATAGAGGAGAGAACACGGTGCACAAGGTTACAAAATAATTTTTACAAATTACATAATTAATTACAAATATATATTTAGTTATAAAAGTATGCTATGATGCAAATATTTTATTTATATTTTTGTTATAATTTTAAATATTTCTTTAGTTATAAAATATATTAGTAATATTACTATGGGAGAGAACAAAGTATGCAAGGTTACAAAATAATTCAAATATTTTAAATATATAATTCATTTCAAATACATATTTAGTTATAAAATAATTTAGTTATATTATTAGAGGACAGACCACGGTGTGCAAGCAAACAAAAATAATGCTTTTTTAATTTAAATAATTAATTTTAAAAGGTACACTATGTAACTTTTTTTTTTTAATTTACAAAACTGATATAATGAGCGAGTACATCATGAATCCAAAAAGGTCCCATTATTCTTATAGTATTTTATATATAATTTAGAAAATATATTTAGTTATTACACACTAATTACATTAATATATAAGAGCACAAAGGGTTAGAGGTTAAAAAAAATCATTAAAAATATTTAAAATGTTATTATGTATAAAATGTATTACATTTTAGGACATTTATTTTAATTTTGTTATAAATTTAAATAATATATTTATAAAAATATTTTTGAAATATTTTGAAATTTTTATTCAATATTATGAAATATAAACTATTTTATAATATTATTTTATAATATTTTTTTAAATATTTAATTTATTGAAATATAACATTAATTATATATGATTTATAAACCATATTATAAATCAAATAAATAGAAATTTCACTTATTTTACATAATATTTAACATTTATTTATTCATTTTTTAAAAATAGACCTTTTTTTTTTCTCTCGAGACAATGCATTAACAAATCCATTGACAGTGCTATTAAAAGATGCTGTCATGATTTTGTTGGCATATAACACTTTTGTTAATCCACCAGGAGGTCACAGGTATCAGTTAACCTTAAACAATTTTTTTAAATAATGTATAATTAATCATTTTAAATAATTGTCCAAATCTAAACACAATCACATTAACCAACCTGTTCCAATAGCTATTGGTCTACACGATCATTGCCACCTAGTGTCAGTTCCCAAAACTACTGACACAACTGACACTGACCCATACTGACTGACTACTATAAGAGTATCTGAACATAAATACATGTATAAAACAAACACACACCTGTCTCTGGGTACGAGGAGTTCCGGTAACCGGGGTCCCTCTGAAGCTGCACTTCCTTCAGTGTAAATATGGATATGTCTGCACAAGCACAGCATATCATGAGAATGAGGACATACGAGCGATTATGTGATGTGTGTGTGTGTGTGTGTGTGTGTATAAAGACACTCACTTTCTGGCAGTGTGTGCACACGCATGCCCAGACTCTTGAAGTAGGAGTGTTTCATTGATTCATCTGCAGAGATCCTCTTCTTGGACTCATACTATGGAGAAAAAAAGAAATAAAGGATGAAAGCCTTGTTAGACTGATAAAGGGTAGTTTAAGTTATCATAATGCTTTAAAAGGGTTAATGGAAATTAAAAGTGTGCTAAGATAAAGAGATGGAAAATCATTTACAATTGTTTGTGTGTGTATTTAATGCAATCCATTGTTCTGGCACATTCTTACCCTTAGAAAGGACAATAACAGCTCTATTCCTTCAGTATCCAACCTGTAGATGGGAAGGGAGGGAGGGAGAGAGATGTGAGCATCGGCAGGTTGACAAATTAGACTGGCAAACGTAAGGAAGGAAGCAAACGGCCTCAGAAATTCCACGGGATATCCTGCTTTACTGGCACGCACATGGCTTTCTAACATACACCAGGACACACACACACACTTTCCCACAGCAGCATACACACACACACACACAGGCTTTGAGGTCATGGTCATTTGCTCTGTGTGGCAAGACAAACACACTGAAGCCACCGCACAGACACGGAGCACACAGACTCATAACAAACACACACTGCATGAAACAGCAAAGCAGCAGCTGGAGAGACACACAGATAGAGAGCAGGTACCTGGGCGCATGATTGATGAAGGGCTGAGGCTTGTATTTGGGGAAGTTGTAGGATTTGAACTCTACGATGGATGAGATGCCGGGCCAGTTGTCCTCTGTAGGTGTACCTGTTTCACACAAAGCCAAAACATCCATTCAACACTTTATACTTTAAAGCCTGTCTACGTTTAGCACATAGCTAACATTTTCTAAACAGAGCTGATACATTTTGGATTTTACAGGACTTAAATTCGCGGATCCCTTTTGATCATGATCTGTCTGTATTTACTTCAGTATATATAAATTCTAAAATGTACAATTTATTTTGTAATATATATATATATATACAGTGAGTACGGAAAGCTTTCCGTACCCACTGTATATATATATATATATATATATAATACAATTATATTGTGTATATTTAAATTATATTATAAAATAACATGCTAAACTACTTAAACTCATTAATTAAGAACATGTTTATCATGGAAGAGGTGTAGTACAGTATGTATAAATTTACATTTTAAATTTACTTAATGTTAATATTTTAAATAATTGTATAGATATTGCAAAAGAGCTAATCTCTAGCAAAAGAAATCTGTGATAATGAGGGAAAAAATGTAGAAGAAATTTTCATAAATGTTTATGTTCTTAAGGATTTCCACAACTTTACCACGACTTAATACAACTCTTTTTATAAATTATTTCGAGTTCTCTATTTCTAAGCAGTGGAAAGTCCACAAATTGCTTGAAATATGATTTACATTTATGCATTTAACAGATGCTTATTTAAAACAACTTGCACTGCATTGAATACCTCTTTTTTTTTCTTTTTTTTTTTTTACCTTTTTTAATCAGTTCATGCTTTCCCTGGGAATTGAACCCATGACCTTGGTTGGCATTGTTAGAAGCATGCAGTACTGTTTGGGCTACAGTTTAAAAAAACTGAATATAGCTTAAAAATAGCTTAAAACCTCCTTTCCAGGTCTTTTTTTCTGAGATATTTCCACACTCCAGAATGCACAGTTAAACACATCAGGTGAGTGTCAGCAGGACAGGATTTCAACTGAACTGTGGTAACCTACCATGTGATCTCACTGTTTCCATGCACAAGCGTGTGTTTGCGTGCATATGTGTGTGTGTGTGTGTGTGTGTGTGTGTGTGTGTGCGTGCGTGGACAGCAAGCATGGCAGCTCAGATGGTTGCAGTTTGTTTTTAAAGCAGGTGAGAAGCACTTCTGAGACTGAACACCATGACACATCTGGTGTGAGAGTGTGTGTTTAATGTCGTAATGTCTGGAGTTGAAGTGTGTGTTTCATCACACAGGCTCTGAATTGAATCATTTAGTTGGAGAGCTGGGCGTGAGTGTGCGTGTGCGTGTGTGTTCGCTCACCCAGTAACCTGAAGATTAGATGCAGCTCATCTTCAACGGTGGATCCTGGGAACAGCGGCCGACCTGCAGCCATTTCATAAAATATACATCCAACACCCCTGAGGCAGAGAAAGAGACAGAGAGAGGATAAGACCGAGCATACAAGACAGGACTGAATGTAAATGTGACATCACTCACCACATATCAATCTGTGTGGAGTACTCTGAGGATCCCAGTAGTACATCAGGAGGTCTGTACCATAAGGTCACCACCTCATTAGAGTATGTCTTAGTGGGAACCGACTTGGCTCGTGCCAGACCTACAAACACACAAACAAAAAATATTTATTATTATTATAATTTTTTTTTTTAATTATATATATATAATTTATATATATGCTGAATGAATCATATACATTTTATGAATAAAAAAAGTTTAATAAATGTATACTATACTTTTAATGAAAAATAAATCACATGATATAAAGTTAAATGCATATTTTGAACATATACATAATCTAAAAAATACATAAAGGCAACATATAAAGTTCACAAAATATATAGTAAAATTTGCATACATTTGAAATATTACACTTAGTATTTATATGTTGAATAAAATAAAAGTTAATTAATACATTTGTAAATCAATAAATTCATAATATATTATAATGTATTTTTAATGAAAAATAAATTACATATGATATAAAATTAAATACAAATTTTTAATATATAAATATTATAATATAAAAATACATGTGGGTGTGTGTGTGGGTGTGTGTGTGTGTTTGCTCACCCAGTAATCTGAAGATTAGATGCAGCTCATCTTCAACGGTGGATCCTGGGAACAGCGGCCGACCTGCAGCCATTTCATAAAATATACATCCAACACCCCTGAGGCAGAGAAAGAGACAGAGAGAGGATAAGACCGAGCATACAAGACAGGACTGAATGTAAATGTGACATCACTCACCACATATCAATCTGTGTGGAGTACTCTGAGGATCCCAGTAGTACATCAGGAGGTCTGTACCATAAGGTCACCACCTCATTAGAGTATGTCTTAGTGGGAACCGACTTGGCTCGTGCCAGACCTACAAACACACAAACAAAAAACATTTATTATTATTATAATTTTTTTTTTTAATTATATATATATAATTTATATATATGCTGAATGAATCATATACATTTTATGAATAAAAAAAGTTTAATAAATGTATACTATACTTTTAATTAAAAATAAATCACATGATATAAAGTTAAATGCATATTTTGAACATATACATAATCTAAAAAATACATAAAGGCAACATATAAAGTTCACAAAATATATAGTAAAATTTGCATACATTTGAAATATTACACTTAGTATTTATATGTTGAATAAAATAAAAGTTAATTAATACATTTGTAAATCAATAAATTCATAATATATTATAATGTATTTTTAATGAAAAATAAATTACATATGATATAAAATTAAATACAAATTTTTAATATATAAATATTATAATATAAAAATACATAAAGGCAACATATAAAGTACACAAAATATACATTAAAATTTGCCTAAATTTGAAATATTACACTTAGTAGTTATATGTAGAATAAAATAAAAGTTAATTAATACATTTGTAAATTAATACATTTATAATACATTAAAATGTATTTTTAATGGAAAATAAATTACGTAACTTTTTATATATATTTGTTAAAATACATATAAAAATTAATTGTATACAATTGAAATTTATAATAAAGTTAGTACATAAATGTAATGAATTATATGAATTAATGAAAAAATACATAATAAAATACATAAATAAATGAGTAAAAACATACATGTATAATTAAAATATATTTTTAGTGAAAACTTAATTATAAATATTAAATAAACAATATAAATATTATATATATTAGTGTTGGGCAATGATTACAAGGTTTAATTGTGATTAATCGCATTATGCACAAAATTCAATAATGCATTCAAAAGTAGTGTATTGTGCACTTTTTTCCATTTAAAAGTACTGCTATATGAACAAAAGTGCAATAACATTTGGTTTGCAAACACTTTAAACAAATAAGGTGCTTTTTTTTACAGCAGTATTCCTTTTACATATAGCAGTTAAAATATTTCTTGTAAATCTCAACTTATAACATTAATGTAATCAAATTAAATATAAAACCAAAGCTGTTTGCCACTGCCAGGGCATTAACGTTTTTATAGAAAATATTTTATAGTTTGTTATAGAAAA